GTCTGGTTACTACCGTTTATGTCAGAACGATACCGGTTCACCCATCCCTATATTTAACCATTCTGTTGATGTGTCCTATATGCAGGAAGCGCTGGCACCTCTTTCCCCCGGAGGATACAGCTAAGCTTTACCCAACTAGAATCCCCTACGAAGAGTCAAGTGTCTTCAGCCAGGTGGCTGTTCTTCATCCTGACCTGAGGAGATTCCCTGCCTTCCACGGTGCCAGTGAACACATCGTCACTCTACAGCCAGGACAGGTCAGGAATTCTGATGACATCATGTCTACAGAGATCTCAGACCAATATTTTTCTATATTTTCTTTTTTTATAAAGTAATCAATAAAGTAAATGAGCAATAATCATCAGTGTTAACCCCGAGAGAGCGCATTCCAGATGCTTATAAACAAAATTAATAAGAAGACTACAAAAGTACTGTTTAGCCCTAGTCTCTATAATTTATACCTAACGGTGAGCTGACAGCTCTTTGAAGAAAATAAAGCAGATGCAATCCAAACAGACTATAGAAAAACCAGTGATTTAGTAAAGTCTGAAGTTATGCAATGCTGTGGCTTTACATTTATATGATGAAGTGCTCGTGACACAGAAGCAGTAACCATAAAATATAACTTTATTGGTCCTTAAGCAGTGAACACGTGAAAGTAGACTGAACAGTGAGATTTATTTGTCTTGGTGTCCTTCATAAAAGCTTGAAGCAAGGCGACGGTCGTGACTTGTGTCCAAATTAAAGTCAGGCGTCTACAGTTATACTGGATCACCTTCAACAGACTGTTGTTCCTATAGTGATGAAAGCGAAAGGTTAAGCAGCGTTATCGCTCTTGATCTAACTGGGTCAGGTCCAGGCCAACAGGCCTGATGAATCAGTCAGGTTTATGTCGTGTGCTCAGCCAAAGATACGACCGAGGTTTTGTGGAATCCAAATTTGGTTTTCATGATGGTAATTTTAACACTTGTCCTCCTTTGATTATGAATAATTGTGAAGGTGCTCCTGCATGAAGGTCATCCTTTTTCACCTTGTTTCAGAAAAAGAAACAGTCACTATGGACACAGAGCAATTATCCAGTTGTCTG